ATAGATAGATAGATAGATAGATAGATAGATAGATAGATAGATAGATAAATGTATATTTTTTAAAATATACAGGGATGAAAGTCAGAGAACTCGGTGAGAGTCTATCCTGTCCTTCCATCATGTAGGCACTGAGGACCAAACTCAGGTTATTGGATTAAGTGTGGCGGCACATGCCTTTAATCCTAGCACTTGGGAAGAGAAGCAGGTAGATCTCTGTAAGTTCCAGGGCAGCTAGAGTAACATACACACACACACACACACATACACACACACACACACACACACACACACACACACACACACACACAGAATAACAAGAACATACTAAAAACTCAGGCTATCAGGCCTGATGGCAAGCATCTTCACCTACTGAGACATCTCCATGGCCCCAGCTTTGTTTTCTGATTACAGAGGATCTCATATCACTTTAGATATTTGTAGGTCACAGAGAATGTGCCAGTCTGGTCTGGTGTGGTGGTTCACTTCCATACCCACAGCACAGGAGGTAGAGGCAGGAGGATCCGGAGAAATCCAGTGCCACCTTCACTACCCCCAAGCCACCTTCCAACACACACACACACACACACACACACACACACACACACACACACACACCAGAAAACTCCACAAATCAAACAAAAAACAAAAACGGGGTGCTGGAGAGATGGCTCAGTGGTTAAGAGTGGCTGCCATTCTAGAGGACCTGTGGTCAATCCGCAGCACCCACATGGCAGCTCACAACCATCTGTAATTCCAGAGGATCCAACACCTCATACATACATGTAGGCAAAACCACCAATGCACATAAAATAAAAATTAAAAAATCATTAAAAAGAACTGTTTAATAAGAGGGGGGTGGGGAGAGGCAGGAGTAGGAAAAAAAGGGGATTGGGAGACAAAGAAACGATCACAGGAAACCCTCCCAACTCAAAGCCTTCACAATCCCACATCTTATTGAAGACTAGGTTACCATTGGAGCCCAGAAAATGGCTCAAAGCAATCACATTCACAATAGACTGATGAGGTTCTTTACATAGTGATTTATTCATGTACAATAGGGATAGCGTTCTGAGACCTTGAGTTTAAATATTCTCTCCTCAGTGAAGTTCCTCCCCTTTGCTAGAAGACAGAGTCTACCAGCAAGTTGCTGGGCAAGATGGTCAGTCAGCCTTGAGGACTCCCACACCTGACAATCTGGACCTCATGAGGTCCAGTTTTTTCTCTTTTTCTTTTTTTGGTTTGTTTGTTTGTTGAGACAGGGTCTCATGTAGCCCAGGCTGGCTTTGAACTCCTGATCCTTCTGCTCGTCATTCCCAAATGCTATCAACATGTGCCACCTTGCCAGTCTCCAATCTTTCCTTGTTATTACCCGCCTTGTCCTCTTTTTCTGACTGTAATGGAGCTCTCATGCAAAGTTCTCTTTCTCTGCTTCTCGTTCTTTTTCTTTCTCTCTCTCTCTCTATCCCTTTGCTCCTTCTTGGTTTTGCTTCTTTTGGATGTTACCTAATTCTTTGGCCTCCACCCCACCCCCGCCCTGCCCGGTGACTCTCCTCCACTCTGGTTTATCTCTCTGTCTCACTGCACATCTCTGACCTCTTCTACCCACCAGCCTCTTCCTCCCTCAGCCTGTCCTTGTGTCTCACTGCGGCTGCCTGTGCTTTGTCTCTCTGCTCGTCTCCAGCTCAACACGCCTCCTGTTTCTACATAGCAAACCTTCCTATTGCCCTCCTCTCCTGCCTCTGACCCTGCTTCTTAGGACCCTCTCTAATCCCTGCCTTCTCCATTTCCACCTCTCCTCCTACCCTGCTAACCTCTCCATTTGCCACTTCACCTCCGTCTCTCCTAAGTCTGCTTTTAATATTTTGATGTGTAGACTAGCTGTTCCTTTCTTGGGGTCCCTTTCTGTCCCACTTTCTTGCCTTCTTTTTGATCATTTTATCAATGCTACGATTTGGTTTCCTCTTAGCCCCTGTAACAACTTTTCTCAATATGTCTGCTGAATCTTTGCTCTTCCTTACCCTTAAGATCTCTTTGCCTGGCTTCTCTATGAGTTTAATCTTTCTCTCTTCTTCCCAGGCCTCTGTCTGTGCACACTTACCTTCCCCATCCTCTCTCTTTCTCTCCCTTCATTTCTTAGCAGCGGTTTTAGGTTTTCTTTTATTTTCCTTTCTTTCTTTCTTTTTTTTTCAAGACAGGGTTTCTCTGTGTAGCCCTGGCTGTCCTGGAACGCACTCTGTAGACCAGGCTGGCCTCAAACTCAGAGATCCACCTGCCTCTGCCTCCTGAGTGCTAGGATTAAAGGTGTGTGCCACAACTGCCCAGTTTAGCAGCACTTTTTTTGTTTGTTTTTTTCAAGACAGGGTTTCTGTGTATAGTCTTACCTGTCCTGGACTCGTTTTGTAGACCAGGCTGGCCGCAAACTCAGCAATCTGTCTGCCTCTGCCTCCTTGAGTGTTGGGATTAAGAGCCACCATGCCAGGCTTTAGCAGTGTTTTTTAAAAATAACTTATTTTATGTGCATTGGTATGAGGGTGTCAGACCACCTGGAACTGGAGTTACCAACAGTTACCAATAGTTGTGAGCTGCCATGTTGTTGCTGGGAATTGAACACAGGTCCTTTGGGAGAGCAGACAGTGCTCTTAATCACTGAGCCATCTCTCCAGACCCTTTAGCAGCAATTTTTAAAAGCCCTTCCTGTCTCTTGTTTTAGCTCCTGCATCTTTTCTGTGGATGTTTGAGAGTTTTCACTCTCTGCCCTGACATTCAGTACAACAGTGACTTTAATCTGCTCTGCAGTTCTATAACCTGGACATTTGAACTAGAAAGGGACAAGACCTACAATAGGAACTTGCTACAATAGGAGGAGAGAGCCTTCAAAAGACTCCAGAGAGAGTTAGTCAGATGTCCTGCCCCTCTGCAGGGAATAGGGAGGCCCCTCTCCCCTGCTGTACCTCTGCCATGAAAAGCTTTGCACTGGGTGATCACAGTTCCTCAGTTCCACAGTACCTCAGTTCCTTCTGTGGTGGTTGTGAGCCACCGTGTGGGTGCTGGAAATTGAACTCAGGGCTTTCGGAAGAACAGCCAGTGCTCTTAATCTCTGAGCCATCTCCCCAACCCAAGTTTACATTTCTCTAAAAAGGTCAGAAGATACACATGAATTAGAAAGGCTTGTATTCACCTGGGAGCAGTGGAGCACGCCTGTAATCCCAGCACTGAGGAGGCAGAGGCAGACAGATCTCTGTGAGTTTGAGGCCAGCCTGGTCTAGAAAGAGAGTTGAGGATAGCCAAGGCTACACAGAGAAACCCTATCTTGAAAAAACCAAAGCCAACCAAACTAACAAAAGCCTGCATGCGGTAGAGTAGAGTTGAGTACAGTTTCAGGACTTACAGCTTCACTTACATGACCAGAAGTATCAGCAGCAACTGCAGTGGCCTGGTTTCTGTCTGTCACTGGCAACTGCCATGCCCATCCCTACTGGCAGCAGATAGTTTCTTGTGCTCTTATCTTACTGCCAGAATTTGATCATAAGAGAGGTCTCTCTGCCGCTGGCCCTGCCCCCTCCATGCCAGGTATCTCTGATTCTAGAAGGACCTCCTCTCCCATTGTCTGCCCTTATTCTGGAGCAAAGGAATTCAGTGAGCAGTAACCTAGTTTCTCAAGCCACTAACATCCACATTTCTTCTTAGATCTTGGGAGGGGGAGAGATGCAAGTTAGCTGGAGAATGTCCTAAAATGCTTGATACAGTGCAGCCCTCACTACATAGCCGACTACGCAGTAAAGGCTAGCATCTCCTCTTCTCAGCCTACCTCCCCCGGACTGACAGAAGAGGAGACCTCTTCCATCTCTAGTCTTTCAGACTTCGAGTAGAATTGTTCCTCGAGACAGGCTCACCTGTCTTGGTCTGCTGAGTCTTGTGCACAAGGACAAATGGGTTAGGGTTGGGACTGCAAGACATCCCTGATCAGAATGCGGGTACCCAGGGAGATGCTCATGCGACCCACGGTGACCAGCGCAGTTCCATAAAGGATGACCTTAGCACAGGACAGCAGGGAGCACTGCCGAAACAACCAAAGACTCATCCATCCCAGAGGTAGGAGGCGGAAGAGGGCCAGGGTGGTCAGGGTGGCCCAGCTGATTACTCTGAAGGCCAAGGATGAAGCCTTATGGGAGAGCAGCAGTAGCTTCCGGAGATGCAAACAGACGGAGTTCAACTCCAGAAGTAGTGATACCAAAGCGATGCCCACGTAGCGGCCAGACAGAACCACGGTGCTGAAGCAGCTCACCACCTGGGAGCAAGGTTCAAAGTCAGAGGGCTTTGCCTGATCTGTACTCATCAAGTCCCAGCAGCCTAGTCTTTATACTAGGGACACCCAAGCATTCTGTAGGACCCCCTCCAAACCTGACCTTTCTGCTGACCCTGGCCCACGGGGCATGAGCAGCTGAGACCAGGGGCTCTCTCACCCTGAAGCCACACTATTTAGGTAGCACCCCACCCAGCTTTCATTCCTGAACACTTCTGCCTCACGCCCACACCCTATACCATGACTCTCCCCTCTCAGCAAAACTCTGAATTCAATGTTTTCATGATCTGCTGGAGGTTTGTGGAGGATCCAAACTCCTTGGGTAGTGCCCAGACTCCAAACTGTGACTAGGAGTCAAAAATCTCCCTCCAGTTCAGTCCAAGAGTGGGAAGATAGGTTTCCAGGGGTTTTTGTGGGAAAGTCAGAGGACAGAACGCTGAAGAGAGGCTGGGCCCTTAAGCTGGGCATGCTCCCCTTCTGTCTGGCCTCTCCCTTCATTCAGTCTCACCACCAAATGGTGACAGAGAAGGTCCCAGGCTTGGGCCAACGTCTGATTCCGGAGCATGTCAACTCCATCTGCCAGGAAATAACCTGTGGGCACGGGAGAGGATTATTAGGCTCCTCACTCAGAGCTGATGCACAGCATAGAGAGATCTCTGAAGCCCCACTTTTCTCCGGTCCTTAAACAACAAACTCCAGCAACACCTGCTCCATTCCGAAGCGGGGGAGGGACCTAGAATTCCCTTTCCAACCACGCCTTCCCCGATTCAGCCTTTTTCGGTACACTTACCCACTGACACCGCTACTAGGACCTGTGGCCAGAATGGGTGTCCATTAATCTGGTCGGTGACCATCTGAGGATACAGCCACAGCCTGGAGAAGATAGCGGGCTAAGGTCACTTTCTCCAAGACCCACATCTATTCTCCCGTGGGTACTCCCTGGGTACAGCCCAACCCAGTTCCAGACTTCGAAGGCCTCACATCCATCCCAAAGGGTACCTACCCAGTGTTCCAACCTCAGCCTTCCACGCCCTCCTCCTCTCCACCCCCGCCCCTCAGTCAGCCTCCAAGTTCCACACCCGACCACCGCCCCTGCTCCAGAGAGTAAGCTGTGAATCAGCGAAACGAAAATATTCCGCCACATCCAGCGGTCCCGAGTAGATTCCGGGGTAGGCAGGAGCTGCAGCCCCTGGTGTAGCCCCCGAAACGCCAGGAAGGAGGCGCCAGCAGCAAGGAGCCCCCAGGATGCCATGGCCTGACCCGTCAGCTGGGTTTCAGTGTGTGTCTTTGATCTGTGTCAGATATCCAGGGGCCTCAAAGCGCCCGGGCGGAGCCGGGATCTGGCTTTTCCGCCGGGCTGGGCCGGGGGCTCCGCGGCCTGCGTCTTTCCAGCCTGTTGTAACTTTCCCCGGCTTGTCCACGCCCCTATTCCTCGGCTGGGCAGTGATTGGTGCAGCCGTGGGGCCACCGACAGTGGAACCATGGAACTGATGGCGTCCCTCCCCTGCCTGGCGAGAGCGCTTTGGGGGCTCCCGGGCATCAAGTTCGGCAACTGAGTTCAGAGGCCTTACAGCACAACACTAGAGCTGTTCCCCAATGCCGCTAGTCTCCAAGCCCCTCGAAAAGGGGTTCCAGATAGCCATCTAATCTAGCTCTACCTGACAGGTCTGGAGCTCCGCCCCACTAACTTTCACCTTCAGTTCTGGTTCCCTCACCTCTCACCTACTGGTCATCCCCAACTACAGACTGGAAGGTGGACCGCAGCCAACCCCTGAGGGCTCAAACCTTGCACCACCTCACCTTTACCTGAGAGCACAGTTAGGCTGAGCTGTCCTCTGCCCATTTGTAATTCCCTTAGGTGGCACTGCACAAACGAACAGCCCCCCATTTGGGGGACCCCTTCTAGAGCCCCCCCCCCCCGCTAGGATCTTCATCTTCATCTTCCCCCACTAGGGGAGGCAGATGGTAGTCATACCACTACACACTTGAACACACTTCCCTCCCTAGGCCTCCAGAAGAGGCCGCCTCAAACAAGAAAAATAAACACCACGATAGCAACATAAGACTGTCAGATTCTAGACCCCTTTGGCCTTAAAGAGGTACATCCTCTCCAGCGGCAAACTCCCCGAAGAGCGGCAGATTTGGAACGTTTCCCTTCTTTTTCACTCTAAGCGACACCTCTTCAGCTGGCTGACAGCCAGAAAGTCAGAGGAATGAACGCTCCTGAACGTAGAGAGTGGACGGGTTCAGGCATCTACAGAATGGGGTTTGGAGCCGACTTCACTGTGGTAGAGCACCTATCTGGTTTTGTACAAGGCCCTGGGCATGATTCCCAGCACCAAGCGCATTCTCGAGCACAACCGTTTAGGAAGCAAAAGGTGCCCCAAGCAAACGTTTTCAGCTTAGTGCGGCCCATCCTCCTGCGCTCAATTCTCCAAAGTTTAAAAATGACAAGGAGGATTGGAGGGATGGCTGGGTTTGGTGGCTAGGAGCATTTGCTGCTCTTCTAGAGGACCTGAGTTCAATTCCCAGCATCCACATCAGGAGGCTCAAACAGCATACAACTCTAAATCCAGAGAATTCGATGCCCTTTTCTGGCCTCTGCAAGCACCCACACTCAGGTACCCATACACACAGACACATAAAATAAAAATCATTTTAAAAAATTACATAGAGGGTGAAGAGATGGCTCAAAAGTAGCACTGGCTGCTCCTGCAGAGGACCGCGTTTACTGCCCACATGTTGGCTCACAGCTGTCTGCACCTCAGTTCCAAGGAACCCCATGCCTCTGCTGGCCTCTGCGGGCACCAGGCGCAAACAGTGCACACTCACACACACAGACAGAACACTCATACACATAAAGTAAAAACTTAAAAACTACATTTATCTTTTGTATTTTATTTAACATGTGAAAACAACATACAATTAGTATGGACAGCTTAGAATGACAGAAAAAACAAGGGTGAACAACCACTCTTCACATTTTGAGTCTACTTTCAGTATTTAAAACAAAACCAAAAATGTATTACAGGTATGTACTCATTTCAAGAACAAATTGTTTAACTAAATCAAATCCACACTTACACTTTTTTATCATCCTTTTAATATGTAAAGAACATTTTCTTTACGGTCACTTTGTCTTCTACATGACTTTGAATGGGTGTGCAGCCCTCCACCATCAGGACCAGTATCGTTTACTTAAGCAATCCCCTACTACAAATTCTCATGACAGCAGAAAAGGAATGGATTTTCAAACAAACAGATGCATTCTACTTTTCTCTATTACAAGCCTGAAATGAACATTTTATAACCAAATCCTTACTTTAAGATACATTTCTAAAACAGAAATTTACTAGGTGAAAAGACAACTCTTACAATGCTTGACACTGCATACACAAAGTGTAGAAGTGTTCTTTCAGCTTGCAGTTGCTTGTCCTACCATGATCACAGAAAACTGCTTTCAGCGATATCTGCCTTCTTTAATTACTAACGAATGCCTTTTTTTTTTTTTTTTTTTTGAGACAGTCTTAGGCAGTCCAGGCTGGCTCAAAACTCAGTGTGTATATGTGTATAGCAGAGGCTCCTTTGCCACCCCTCCCCACAGTGCTGGCATTACAGACCTGTGCCACTGCACCCACTTTTCTACAATGCATAAGACAGAAGTGGGCTCTGTGCATGTTGAGCGAGCATGCCACCACCTGAGCGATACCCATAGCCAGAAAGATGTTTCCACAGAGTTACACATTTAAATGTTCCTTCCAAATTGCTGTGTATTTCCCCTCAGAGGTGGTCCTTTGAGGCTGCTTATATAGAAACTGCACAGTAGAGAAGAAAGGGGCCATACTTCACTATGGCCCTTCATCTCCAAGGGAGGAAGGTCTGGAGAGAAGATGGCTGGAAGCTTGTCTTTCACTGAGGCTGGCTGTTCTCTTTCCTGGTGTTCTCCAGGCCTCTATGTGCCCCTTTGACCCATGTCCGGGTAGGCCCCCGTGGCTCCAGGCCAGGTCCTTCACCGGTCTTCCGCCTGCCTCTCTGTGTTTCCAGGCTGCCCTTCCTCACCTCTGAGGCTCCGTGTTGGATGAAGATAGCAGAGCCATGTACCCAGTGCTGGAGGGGCACACTGTGGCCAGTGAAGCGAGGAGGGGAAGAAAGCAATGTCGAGGGACAAAGCAACCTTTGTTGCAGTGTACGAGTAGACGCAGCCTCCCTATCCCCTCTCTACAGTCCCTCACACATCCTACCCCTCATCTGAGGCTGCAGGAGGGCTGGAGTGTCTGATCCATTCTTCCCTATTACTTTCAGTTTCTCATAAATGCAGAATAAGCTAGAACTCCTCCTGTCAAACAGAATGAACAACTTCCTGTAGGCTCTGAACCCATCTTCTGTTAGTGAGACTGGGCCAATGGTGAACCACAATCAGAGGCCAAGCCCAAACATGAAATAAATCAGGAGCTAGAGGCAGCAGAAGGGGCTCATATTATACACCCATCTCCCCTGATGGCCTGAGGAGGCAATTTCTTGCCTGCACAGCACTGAGCTGAGTCTCACTATCCTGGAAAGCAAAGGCAGGTGATAAATGGCAACAGTTGCTAGAACCCAACCAGGACCTGCAGTCTTGCTGGGGGTGGAGGGAAAGCCTTGGGCCACCCTTACATGGCAAGAAGTCAGCACAGGACTAGCCTCCCACTAGCTTGCATTGGTCTTAACCCTAGTCTTTCCTTCCAGCCCAACCCCAAGAGGTGGGTGAGTAGTCAGGGGCTGGAGGAGGGACAGCAGTTCATCCACAAGAAGAGACGTGCCCAGGCTGAGTCAGCATGGGCAGACCTTCCATACCCTCCCGCCTACTCATCTACGGGATTTCCCATTGCACAGGTGGAGAAACAGACAGGTGTACGGTCCCCAAAGAGCCAAGTACTCCTAAACCCAAAACCTGGACCAATCTAAAAATAAATACAGAGACAGGTGAAGACGCAGGTGACTCACATAAAAGTTTTGGTGTCACCTTTCCCTTGAGTTCATTTACTTTTGGAAGTCATGCAGAAAGAGTGTATGTGTGAGAGGGGTAGGAGATAAGAAAGGCAGGCCTATAAGAAAATCTCCATAGACAGACAGACTTTCCTCCTATCTCTTCCCATTGCCAGAGATCAACCACCCTTGGGAAGGCGGGCCACCTATATTCCCCAGTTTAGTCAGGTGCCTTTAACCTAAATTTTTGCTGGGCCATGTGGCTAAGGGCTCCCCAGAGAGCCAGGGTTTCCCTCCCGTAAAGCCAACACCCCAGCTGTCCAGACCTTCCCAACCCCAGTTCTGTCACCTTCCAGATGATAGGCCAAGAAGCTGCTCCTCCTCTTCCTCCTCGAAGCCAGGGGCAGAGGGCAACAGTTCTTCAACTGGCAGCTTTAGCTGGTCAGGACATAAAGCTTGCCACTGAAGAACTACTGCGGCTCAGCCAGGTGAGTGTGGGAGGCACAGGTTCCTAAGGGAAGGGGAGAAGAACAGCAAAGCTCTGATAGGGCTGAGTGACAGGGACAGTGACCCACTGGTCATTCAACCCTAGCTTTGGAGCTGACTTTCAATACCTTCCAGTGAGGGGTTCTTGGCTCAGATCTGGGCCTGCAAGGGTTCTCAAGTGAGAAGCTAGAGGCTTCTAAATGCACCTGTCTTGTACCCCTTCACAGGTTAGGAGGCACTAACCCTTGGCAAGCTGCTAAGGACTCCAGCATCTTCAGCATTCAAAAGGCAGGGTCTAGAGCTGGGTCCCAAGTGAATAACTGTACTTCAGAAATAGGAGTTCTGTTATAGGCTCAACTGACTTGCTATCTTAGGGAATTTGGCTGGAAGGAGGGTTGGTGGAGGGTTAGAATGGGGAGGAGGGCTAGAGTTTGCAAGGTCAGCAGGGGCTCTGAGGAGTATGAAGCAGAGAACAGCTGACCAAAGGCAGTAGGGGAGGGAGGTATGGGCAGGGTGGCCGGGCAGCTTCTCAGGACTCTGAGATGCCAGGCATTCCGCTTGCACATTCCGGGTACATCTGGTATGAATTCCAGGCTGTCTGCCGGCCCCTCCACGTCTGAACTTTGTTCCAAGTTCCAAGCCCCGCCCCCACAGTTCCAACGTATGAATCAGCAGGAAAAGCCGGGGCCCTGCAGCATGGCCCAGGGAGGGGGCTGGGGGCGTGGCAGGCTAGAGGGCTGGGAGCTGCAGAGGGTGGTTCTGCACAGTCAGTCCAAGGGCATGGCCACTGCCAGATAGAAGAGCCAAGGAGATTTTGCCTTGGGATTTCTGTATTCAGAAGTGGACAGATTACAGTAGGGTGGGCGATTTTCAAATCCCAAAAGCCTCTTGGGAAGCATAAACTTTGTGGTATCTTCCTTCTACTAGATGATCAGTCTCTGTCCACTTCCCTCTGCCCGAGATGGCTCTGTTCAGCCCACAGGATTGACTATTGGGAGTTTGTGCCAAGCAGGTGCCCTTGGCTGCCGGGCAGGGTGGGCCCAGGGCACTGACCCTCTGACCAGCTGCTCCATCAACCCTCTGGCATCATGACAGCTTCTAGCCTACTCTGACAGCCAGGATGACAGGCCAAATGAGTTGGAGGCTGAAACTAGGGCCAGAGGGAGGTGAGGACGTTAGCCTAGCCCAGAGCCTGTGGGGAGGGGCCAAGAGTTGGCCAGGAGGTGGAAGGAGAGGGAGCCCAGCGATGACTAACCCAGGCGCCCCACCCAGCCAGCCGGCTTCCCAAGCGGTCAGGGCCAAGCCGGGGCTAGGGGCCTCACACCGGACATACTGGGGGGAGGTGCAAAGGTGACCTCTCTGTTCAAGACGGCCAGTGAGGATGGGGGGGTGCGGGTAGAGTTTCCAGGCACTCCTCCTGGCCGCCCCCCCAACCTCCGCCCAACCGCGGTGAAACCCTAACCTTTGGGTTGCATAAGGCCTCCGCACCGCCGCCCCCTACTCCTTTCCCCTCCCCCCTTACATAACATCCTCGGGAGGGAACGAGAGGAGGGGCCGGCCCGCCCAGCGACCACTTCCCTGCCAGGGACTTGAACTGGCCCTGACCCAGTCAGCACCGGCAGAGCCAGTGCACCTCCTCACCACTCGCTCGTACGGATCCTCCCCAGGCTAAATGGTCAGCTCCCGCATCCTCAAACCAGAGGGAGCAGGGTTAGAGGTCCCCGGCCCTCCGGCCGCTCATCCTTCTCCCCCGTCATCTCTCCAGACCTTCCCCCACGATTCCTGTCCGGGACCTCTCTTTAAACGTCGAGACACACTACTCGAGCTAGTCCAGGCCCCTCTCCTGGGAGCGCCCCTGTCCCCGCCGCCCCCTCTCCCCTCCCCCAGAAGGACAGGGTGTGGCCGCCAGGACCCTACTTTTCCCCATCACCCGGTTACCACGATTCCCTCCGGGATGACCGGGTCCCTACATCACACCCACCTGATGCTGGGTGTGGGGGTTGCTGAGGACAGGGGAGCAAAATCACTGCGTCCTCTCCGCACGGCCGACCGCTCTGTCTCTTCCCAGCGCCCAGCACACACCGGCTCCAGTCTCCGATCAGCTGGCGGCGTCGTGACGCACGAGCTGCGAGTGCACCGCCCCGGGCCAATCACCGCCCACCGCTGGGCAACGTGACCACACCCACTCGGGGGCGCCAGCACCTCCGCTTACTCCCGCCCCTCGCGGCGTCTGGGCTCTGATTGGCAAGGGGGCCACCCGCTTGCCTAGAGGAGCTGCGCTAAGCCACGCCTACCAACTGGCCGGCCTGCCAATAGCTGAAAAGGTGTGGCTAGCCCTCGGCTTAGGCAACCTGCCTAGACCATTTCTACGTCAAACCACAGTTTAAAGAGCAGAAGGAAGTGAAGGCGTGTGTTTTTGCAGTGCATCCTGGTCAATGAGGTTTTGACGGTGACACTCGGCTTCCCAGAATGCAGCGCGCTCTGTGAGTTGGCATTTTTAAACTGATCTCTGAATCCGTCGCGGGGAAGTCCTTAAAGGGCTACGGCCCCTCCTTCTTGGAACTTCTTTTAGACACCCTCAGAACCGATCACCAGCCTCCACAGGAGGCCGAAGCTGAGGGACGGTGGAGCACGCGAGGTAGGAGTGGCGAGAACTGGAGACGGAAAGCCAGCCACCGAGGCAGCAGAAATCCCGAGGTCGACGGTCACCCGCACAGCCCAGTCTCCCCTCGGAGAGCTCGTTCACCCTCGTGGGTCTAGTGAAATCTTTTCTAGTAAATGTCTCGGCCTAGTCTTTGAAGGGCCCACAGCCTCTCAATGCTCAGCTTCCTAACAGAGGATTCATATCACAGCCCTCACTTTCAGACAGAAAGCTTCTGTTTAGAAATTAGTAATGCCAGCCAGAAACCCCATCCTCTGATTAACACCCATTCAGTCCCGCCCTTCAAAGCGTTTCACTGACTCAGGCCTACTTAGGGAAGTGATTTCAAAGGTGGAGACCAATGGAGAGGCTGCTCCTTCCCTAGGGGCCAATCAGAGTCTGCAGGGCGGGGGATGGGCAAAAACCGAAATGAACCCAATGACTTGGCAAAAGCTGCTGAATTGCTTATTTAAAGGGATAAGCTTGGGACCACCTTATCAGTTCCTTCCCACCCCCAAAGAGAAACTTGTGGCCTGGGATTCATGGCTTTTGCATCATCTCTAAATTGAGAGTGAGGGCAACTGAGCTGGAAAAATGAGAGGGGAGCCTAGATAGTTCCTGCTGTGTAAATTAAGTATAGGCTCCGCTGGGTGACTGCTAAGGTTCCTTCAAACTCCTGAGTTCTACGTTCAGAACGTTGTACCTTTAAGGAGACTTCCTGCCTTCCGCCCCAGTAACAGCTGATTGTTCGACCCCGAGGGACGAATCAGCCTTAACCACATCCTCCTCCTCTCCTGTCCTTCTCCATCTCCTTTTTTCCGCCCCACCCCCACCCCGCCATGGGTGGTAATGGAAGGCGAAAGAACCCCAAGCACGGGAGGGGGTGGGTTATGCTTTTTCATGGTCTTTTCTCCATCGCTCCAAGATTGCCACCTCCCCCCCCCCCCCACACACATACGTATTTGTTGCTTACTTTTTCAGAGTTCTGAGATTGAAAGCCGAGATACATCCTGTCACCACAGACAGTTTAGTGAGGAGGCCACTACTGGGAAGCCTGTGATGGTGGCCAGCTGAGTGTGGGTGTTTCAGAGGCTCCTGGGGATGGTGCAGGGAAACTGAGTCCGAGCCTAGGGAAAAGGAAAGGTGGGAAACAACAAGCCAGAACAGGCCGGAACACTGTTTGCTAGGCCAGGTGCCCCTTTCTCACTGCTTCAGTTGCCCTCTTCCTTCCCAGGTCAGGTGACTGACGGGGTCTTCCTCCCTTTGTCCATTTAATTCACATCTGTCTTACTCCATTTGTCTTTTAGCCCACTCCTCTCCCGCAGCAAACGCACCAACATTTTGTTAGCTCAGGTACCGCAGGTGCAACACCCTGGTCCTAGAAGCCAGGGGCGTCTTCTGGGAACTCCTCCAGGAGACCCAGGTAAATGCGTGTGCTGCCCCAGCTCTAGCAGGGAGTCAGGGTCATTCCAGGACAAAGTTAGTGTGAAGTCCCAGGACTGACTTGGCAGGCCTGGGGGAAATTGAGCAGGGCGCTGGCCAAGCTTGGGAGAAAGAGGCGTCTCAACAAGGTGCCCTGTTCTCCACTATCCCTCGAATGGGGGCCCCATTCCCCCTCACTCAAGGCCCCTATGCTGGTCCTGCTGCATTTAATTTTACTCTCTAACCACCTCCCACAGGCCTCAGGGACAAAAGCGCAGGGTTTCAGCCTGAGAGTTCTCAACCTTCCCACTACTGATGTTTTGAGACAGATAATGTCGTAGGTACATGGCTGCCCTGTGCATAGTAGGAAGATCAGCTCTCCCCCTCTATCCTAGATGCCAGTAGATCCCCAAATATTCTCTGGGAGTCCAAATACATTCTAGTTGAGAGCCACTGAACTAGGCATACAGATTCAAATTCCAGTGTTGACCGGCAGTGACCTTAGGAATGATGTTTTCTTTATCTGCAAAAGAGTATAAATGATGAAGCTATGGTTTCTTATATGGGCTTAAGGAGAAACTGTTTGAACCACTTAGCACAGTACAAATTCCCCAGAGCCACAGTTGGCACACTCAGTGTCAGCTTCTTTCTTGCTGACTTCACTTGGCACAGGCTGATGGCCCCCAGGCAGCTGCAGCCTCCCTCAGTGACTGGCCAGAATGGGTGCTCCGGGAAGCACGGGTGAGGCAGGCAGAGGGCGTGGCTGACTGTCCACCCACTCCCCAAAGTCCCAGGAGGCTTGAGCAAGGATTCGGGAGATACCAGCGAGGGTGGGGGACAGGGAGGCTGGGAGAACAGTCTGAGAGCATTATTTTAATTATCATCAGTAGTGGCGATGGTGGGGCTTCATTTATGTGAAGCCTCCCCTTTGTCACTAAGGAGCTCAAAGCTTTACTTTTCAAGGTGTGCCTTGAATAACTGCGCAGGGTGCTTGACAAACGTTCAGGCTCCGGGGTCTCATTCCACACTAAGTTAGAAGTACACCTTAAAGTTTGAAAATCCCCTTTTGGAGGTTGTTGCTGAGGAGTTAGTTCAGTGGCAAAACATTCAGCTAGCATTCACCAAGCCCTGGGCTCAACCTCCAAGGTGAAAAAGCCAAGAAGTTTTCTGAAGTTCAGATGAAGGAAGACGCAGCGCCCTAGAAGTCTCTGAGCCAGGTCCCAGCCTTGGAAGGATGTCTCAATTCTAGGAAGAAAGAAAACAAGGGCTAAATTGAAATACACTCAAGATCACTACTGTAGTGTACAGTCGGGGCCGCTAGAGGGCAGAGCACACAGACTTAGAGAAAAAATAGTTTTTACTTAGTTTATAACCTAAACTTGGATAAACCAAGACCAGAGCAAAGACCAGGTGGAGCCAGTTCTGGTGCCGTGGCTCAGCCTTTGGAGTATCGGAGTAGGGCCTAGAGGAAAGTGGTGATAAGGCACGCTTGAGAGACGGGAGACTAGAGGATCCTGAATTCCAGGCTCTCCTTGGATATACATGAAAATTCTGATTTAGGGCTGGAGAGATGGCTCAGGGGCTAAGAGCATTGACTGTGTTTCCAGAGGACCTGGCTTCAATTCCTGCACCCACATGGCAGCTCACAACTGTCTGTCACTCCAAGACCTGACAACCTCACACAGGCATACATGCAGGCAAACACCAATATACATTAAATAAAAAAGATTCTGATTAGGAAAACAAGTCCCCCCCCCTTCCACTTCTATTTTCTTTTTTTTTTTAATTATCTTTTTTTTTTTTTAAGAATTTATTTAATCTTATTCTCTGTGCATTGATCTCAGAATCCATAGAACTGGAATTGTAGACAGCTGTGAGCTGCCATGTGGGTGCTAAGAATTGAACCCAGGTCCTTTGGAAGAGCAGACAGTACTCTTAACCACTGAGCCATCCCTACAGCCCCTCCACTTCTATTTTCAAGGCGTGTGTGTGTGTGTGTGTGTGTGTGTGTGTGTGTGTAAGCAAAAAACAAATGAATAAACAAAAATCTCTCTGTCCTTTGGTTTCCGGCTCTCAACTCTAACCTAGATATGAAGAATTGTCTTGGGCCATCTTGTGTCTCAGTTGAAAAACAATAATGTTCAAATACAGGAATACTAGTTTAATTAATTAGTTAATTTAAAGAGAACACAAGTTTGTTTTCATGCATTCTCTCTCTCCCTCTCCCTGAGACAAGATCTCTATGTCACTCTGGCTAGCCTGGAAATGAAGGGCAGGATGGCCTGGAATTCATAAAGATTCTCCTGCCTCTGCCTTTCTAGCGTTGGGATTAAGGGTGAACGTGGTCATGCCTGGCTCTGTCTATTTTTTATGTGTTTTCCGTGTGTGAATGTTTTGACTCTTACGTGCATGTACACTGTGTGAGCACCTGGGGTCCGTAGAGGCTAGAAAGAGGCACAGATCCCCCAAAACTAAACTCACAAATGATTGTGAGCCACCCATTGTGGGTGCCAGGTACCAAACCCAGGAATTCTGTAAGAGTAACAGTGCTCTTAACCACAGCTGTCTATCTAGACCCTAACAGTTTTTTAATTGAAGTGAAACAACGCTTATTCCCACTAACTTCACTTTATTTTATTTTTAGATTTGCTTGACTTATTTATTTTTAAAATATGGAACGCTTCATGAATTTGCATATCATCCTTGCACAGGGGCCATGCTAATCTTCTCTGTGTTGTTCCAATCTTAGTATATGTGCTGCCGAAGCAAGCACGACTTTTTTTTTTTAATTTTTGAGTGTTTTACCTGCATGTATGTCTGTGCACACATGGTGCACAGACATGAGAGGCCAGAAGAGGGCAGTAGACAGTTGTTAGCCACCACAGAATTCTGGGGATTGAACTGTAGTCCTGTGAAGAGCCTTCAATGCCCTTAATCACTGAACCATCTGTCCAGCTCCTTAACTTGACTTTATAACTGCATAAAATTATGCTTGGAAGTGACTTCCGCAGACTCAAACAGAGAGTCAACGACAACTCCAGGGCTTGTCCTGCTGCAATGATTTATGGGTGGTCTCATGGCTAGTATGGCTCTCTCTGAGTGTCTATGGAGCTGCATCAGAGTGGGGTGAGGTTGCAGGCAGATGCTAA